GAAAAGCAGCAGGTCACAAAAATCAACATACAAAGATTGGCAGCGCTGATGTGCACTAGAAAGAAACTATCTGAAAAACAAAGGAAAAAATCCTCAAGGTAACAAAAAGTCTTAGGAAAAATTTACTCAAGGAGATGGAAGCTTTATACATCAGAAATTATAACACTGATCAAAGAAACTGAAGATAACACAAATGAATGAACAATACTCTGTTCATGTACTGAAGAAGCAACATTATTTAAAGTGTCCATCTCATCCAAATCTACATCTTGATCTATAGATTCAAACCTACAAAATTTCCAGAAAAAAAACAGTAAAATCCACATGGAAACAGGAAAGTCACTAAGTAGCCAATCATAAGTACAAGCACCGCACTATCTGATTTCAAAGCACACTATAAATCAAAACAGAACCCAGGCATATAAAACAGATATACAGACTAACTAAATAGAATGGAAAACACAGAAATCCAAAAGTATATATTTACTTTTAAAAAGATCTTTTTATTTATTTTTACTGGAAAGGCAAATATACAGAGAGGAGAGAAAGAGAGGAACATCTTCCATACCATGATTCACTCCCCAAGTGACTACAATGCCTGGAGCTGCGCTGATCCAAAGCCAGGAGCCAGCAGCTTCCCTCATGTCTCCCATGTAGGTACAGGGACCCAAGGCTTTGGGCCATCCTCGACTGCTTTCCCAGGCCACAAGCAAGGAGCTGAACGGGAAGTGGGGCTGCCAGGATTAGAACTGGTACCCATAAGGGATTCTGGCACATGCAAGTTGAGGACTTAACCTCCTAGGCTACTGTACTAGGCCCTAATTGGTTTTATATAAAGGTGTCAATGGGGAAACACAATAGAGAAAGGCAGTCTCTTTAAAATGTTTTGGGAAAACTGACTACCCAAATGCAAAACAATCAATCAAACCAGCCAGCGATCCTACATACAAACACTCAATCAAAACTAACAAAAGATTTAAATATAAGAATTCCATATCATACTTTCAACTTGGGCTAACTTCTAGCTAATGAGCAATCCTGAGAGCCAGCAGGTGATAGTTCAATTATCAAAGTCCCGGCCACTCACAGGGGAGACCCAGATGAAAGTAGAGGCTCCTGCAAAACACAGGCCTGCACAAAATACAGCCTGGCTCAGCTCTGGATGATGGCTGGCCTCTGGGTAACACACCGATGAATAGAAGTTCTCATCTTGTCTAACAGATCAATCCATCCATCTATCCATCCACATCCCGATAGGGCTCTCTCTCCTGACTTCCCATACTACCTTTCAAATAGACATAAACATTAAAGAAAGTTTTTAATTAAAAAAAAAACAGGCAGAGATTAAATAGAAATTTCTTAAAATATGGCATTAGCAGTGTCAAAGGAGCATCCAGTGTGATGGCTCAGTAGCTAAATTCTAGCCTGGTAATCGCTGGTATCCCCTATGGGTGCTGGTTCATGTCCTGGCTGCTCCCATCCAGCTCCCTGCGTGTGGCCTGGGAAAGGAGCAGAGCACATCCCAAGTCCCTGGGAACATGCACTCACATGGGAGACCTGGAAGAAACTTCTGGCTCCTGGCTTCTCATCGGATCAGGTCTGGCCACCACAGCCACTTGCGGAGTGGACAAGCGGATGGAGTTGCTTTTTCTCTGTATCTCCTCTCTGTTAATCTGCTTTTCCAGTAAAAATAAGTGAGTCTTTTTTTAAAAAAGAAATGTCCAAAAAGCTTTATGACAAAAATGTTCAACCTCCCTAAACATCAGAGAAATGAAACTAAAAATCTCAATGAGGTATCACCTCACATCTGCTGTAAGAACCAAAAGCAGAAAATGTAACAAGTATGGGAAGAACACGGAGAAAAGGCAACCCTTTTCTGTGGAAAACGGTGTGGATCGTCGTTAAAAATTTGAAAGCAAAACTATCATCCGATGCAGCAATCTCATTTCAAAGTAGAAACCCAAGGGAAATGCAATCATGTCAAAGAGACAGCTGTGCTCCTATGTTCACTGCAGCATAACTTGCAATAGATAAGATATGGAATTAACCTACGTGTCCATGGACATGTAAGCAAAGAAGGAAAATGTGCTATATTACTTAGACTTTTACAAAGAAAATCCTGCCCCTTATGATAACAAAAATAAACCTGGAGGAATAAATCATACTGCCTTTCTGTGTCTTAAGTCGTCTCTAGGAACTAACAGCAAGTAATGGGGAGTTCCTGGTCAAAGGATTTAAAATTTCAGTTATGTAGAATGGGTATATATTGACTATAGTTAATACTGTACTTTATACCCGAAATAGTCGAATTTAAATGCTTCGTGTAAAAAATCACCACTACGAAGCTGATGAATATGTTAACTAGCTTCACTGTGATAATATTAGATACAAGGAATCTTATAAAAAGTTCACAAAGAAAAACACACTGTGAAGAAAAAAGATTTTTCTTTGATGCAAAAATTTGAAATCAGATAACACTATACTAACCTATTAATACCTCCCAGAGCAAGCTCCAGTGTGAGGCACTAAGGACAAAAAAATCAGTCTGAAATGAGCACCATAAATTCTGCTAAAATTAAACATGAAATTTATGGTGAAACTTCTGTGAAAGAATACTTAAATTAGTGATGCTTTAAAAGGAGTTTAAAAGGACAGTTCCCCAAAGAAAGCAACAGTTAGGTTTTTTTAAGAGGAAGCCCACAGACTCAGACATCCACATTAACTTAATCCTACTCATGTCCTCTTTGAAGGTCTCCTACAATTGACAGCATAAGCAAAGGTCAACACAATTCAACTGAAAAGTGCATGGGGACAGGCACTTTCCTAGCAATGCAGATGCTTATGTCCCACATCAGGGTGCTTGGGCTGAGTCCCAGCTCCAGTTCCTAATTCCTGCTTCCTGCTATTGAAAATACTGAAAAACAACAGGGCTCTGACAGGCAAATGTCCTCACGAGCTCAGAGCTTTGACTCAGCTTAGGCCCAACAAACGCAGTGTAAAAAAACCAAGAAACACTACACTGATGCAGTTAAATTCCCCAGACCTTTTGCTATCCTACGGATAAACTAGCTAGTAGCTGGTACCATCATGTTTTTATAACATGACAGCATTTATGTTGAAAAATTGTTTTTAATTTTTTATCTTTAAAAGAAATTTATTTTTATTTGGAAGGCAGATTTTTATAGAGAGAAACAGAGATAGAGAAGGTCTTCCAACTGCTTGTTCTCTCCCCAAATAGCCACAACTGCCAGAGCTGAGCTGACCTGAAACTGGGAACCAGGAGCTTCTTTTCAGGTGTCACACATAGGCACAGTGTTTCGAGGGCTCGGGCCATCCTCCACTGCTTTCCCAGTCCACAAACAGGAAGCTGGACCAGAAGTGGAACATCTGGGATATGAATTGACGCCCAAATGGGATGCTGGCACGTTAGGGTAGAGGATTAAGTTTTGCAACTGCTCTAGTACCCTGTTTCTAAAGACAACTTTTCCAGGGCAGCCACAGTGGCTCAACAAGCTAATCCTTTGCCTGTAGGCAATCCCACTGGGGCGTCAGTTCATGTCCCAGAGGTTCCATTTACCACCAGTTCCCTGCTTGTGGGTTGACAAAGCAACAAAGGATAGCTCAAGTCCTAGAGCCCCTGAAGCCATAGGGAAGACCCAGGAATAGCTCCAGGCTCCTGGCTTTGGATTGGCTCAACTCTGGCCACTGAGTGAACCAGTGTATAGAAGGTATCAGTAAATCTCTCTCTCCTTTCTCTATAAACCTGGCTTCCAAACAAACAAAAAAAATTAATAAGACTTTAAAAAAACAAAGAAGGGACCCAGCGTGGTAGCCCAGTCGCAAAAGCCCTTGCCTTGCTGTGCTAGGATCCCATATGGGCGCCGGTTCATATCTGGCAGTCACGCTTCCTATCCAGCTTCCTGCTTGTGGCCTGGGAAAGCAGTAGAGGACAGCCCAAAGCCTTGGACCCTGCGCCTGCATGGAAGACCCAGAGGAGGTTCCCGGATCCTAGCTTTTTGACTGGCTCAGCTCTGGCCATTGTGGCCAGTTGGGGAGTGAAACAACGGATGGAAGATCTTCCTCTCTGAATATTTGACTTTCTAATAAAAATAAATAAATCTCTGGAAAAAAAACACCTACTTTCCTATAATTTGTTTTAAACTCTCTGCTATCAAAACATCATGCTGTTTGCTACAAACACACTATTTTTATTTGACAAAATCTAAAACTTTGTAAGCATCAACACAATGCTCAAAATATTTCAGAATTTGGAGAATTTCAGATGTCTGGTTTTCAGGTTAGAAATGCCCAATTAGTGAAGTTTACACTAATATTCCCAAATTCAAAAAACTCCAAAGTCTGAAACATTTTGGGTTCTAGGCATTTCAAATCAAAGACAGTCAACCTGTGCCTCTATAAAGCCAAGGGGAAAAGAAGATCAACAGGACTACCTCAAACCAGGAACAAATGGGGCAGGCAGTTAAGCTTCACATGCAGCGCCAACATCCCCAAGAAGGTCCAGTTCAAATTGTGGCTGCTCTATTTCCTATCCAAATTCCTGGTAATAGGTTTATAAAAGAAAATGGCCCAGGCACTTGGGCCTCTGCCACTACATGGCACACTGAGATGGAGTTCTTGGCTCCTGGTTTCAGTCCCCAGTCATTGTAGCCATTTGGGGTATCAAATATTTCAGTCTCTCCCTCTTGCTCTGTAACTCTTCCTTTCAGGTAAGTATTTAACAGCATAAATTTTAAAAATATATAATATAGGTTGTATCATTATGCTATAGTTTTATAAGATGTCGCCAACAAACAAAAACTGGCTAAAGGAAACACAGGATATACTTATAACTGCATGGTGTCTACAATGATCTCAGTAAAAATTCCAATTAAAACCATTTTTACAAGAAGCTTAACCTAGGAAGTAATCTCCGTCACATTTTAGTCTCCTTCAGGGTTTAATTCAAACAGTACGGCTAACGTGAGACGCAAATGACTTACATTTGGAACATCGACTGCTACTTCCCTCATGGCACTGGGCCGGATTTCATTCATTGCATGTGAGAAATCATTTACACTGATCTTCACCAACGCAGCCATCTTGCTATCAGGGAAGTTAGGATGTTTATCGAACACTCTTCGAAATGCCTGCATACCTGCAAAAAGGAAATAATGCAAGATTCATCTTTTACTGCACAAACACAGAATGAATCATCACAAACAAAAATCGTAACAAAATACCCAATTCTATGCATATTACAGAACTGAAAACTTTCTGTGCTTGACTGGGGGGGCGGGGGTGCAAGGTGAGTGAGGAAGGCAACAGAACAATGTGGAAAAGAAAGCTAAAAATCCATGTCTTTAGTTTTGGCAATGAATATACGCAAAGCTGGTATTAAATATATGGGAAAACATTTTACAGACATGAAACATAATTCATAAAACAGGTATTGCAAAACCATACAAGTTTAAAAAAAATACTCAATTTGGGAAACTTCAAAGAATAAACATTAAAATACTTTACTTGATTCTGTGAGGGATGTGTGGGCCTAACCCTATTAAAATTCTAGCCCCATGGGTTTGTTCAAGAGATGGAGTGGTGATGGACTAAGCTAGGTGTGACCAAGCAGCCTGCCCTCACTCACCAGTAAAGGAACCGACAACAGTCTAGACTGGTCAAGGCAGCAGCACCCAAATGTGCATCCTGAACAGGATGTGGGGTGGGCTGGGCTGCACGTTCCCACCAGTTCATGCAGGGCCAAAAGGAAGGCCAGACAATGCCATGCACTGGCCTAAAACCCAATGGCATGTATGAGAGCTAGGTTGGGGAGAGGATCAAGTGGAGAAACTTCCCTGGCGAGTCATAGCTCCCGCTGGTGAACATGTGGTCCAGATCTGGAGGTCAGATAAGCTGGGCAAAGTAGCTACAATGGGTTGGTCAATGTATGAAATGGCAATGGAACAGGCGTGTACCAGGCAGAAATGAGCAAACCTTAGCCCATAAGTAAAATTAGAAACCAGGATGGAGCACAAGACATGCTGAGCTAGGATCTTGCACCTACTGGTCTGCATGAGCCAGGGACACTAAGCCACAGCATTTAAAGCAGAGGTCCGGACAGGTGAGGGGCTGTGCCAAGCTGAGTCAGAACAACCACTGGCATGCGCGATTTATGGCTGGGAACAGGCCTGGTTGGGGAGCTAAGGGGACACCCTAGCAGGGTGGAGGTTCCCACCAAGGGGCATGTGGCCTGAATTGGGGGCTGCATTCTGATTGGAATACAGTTGTAATCTCCCTTGGCACAAGTATGGACTGGGACTAGACGCACCAGGTTGTGCCAGACCGCAACACCTTCTGGTGTTCTGGAGGACCAGGGTAGATGTGGGACAGACTAGGCTAGGTCTTAACCCCTACTGGGCCATGTAAAAGCTGCACATGTGTATGGACGAGTCGTGGCTGGGCTGAAACATCCAATAGAAGGACCAGCTTGGGCTGAAGGCCAGTTAGGAAAAGCCTCGGCTCTTGCTAGGACAGAAGGTAAACTGAGTAGTGCTGGCTCATGGACCCACTGGTATGCGTGAAATCTGGCATTCAGAGGGGTTCCGATGGAGGAGCCTGGGCAACTCCCCTGGCAGGACACAGACCTGGCAGGCAAGTAAGCGCAAGAATCATGAAAGGAAACAGCCCAGAACAGGTCATGGAAAATGTCCCACTGGCATAGATTTGGCACGGGTTGGGAGCAGACCAGGCTGAATCAGTTCACATCATCCACTGGCAAATCTGAACACTGGAACAGAGTGTGGGTCGGGCCAGGTTCAGTTGTGACAAAAGCAGTACACAATACGGAATGCCAAGGTGAGGTTGCCTGTGCCAGATGTGACTGCAGCTCCCAACAGCACACTTGAGAAACAGGAAGGGAGGTGGCAGAGCCGGCAGAGGGAATAAGGGGTGGTTCCCCTGCTGGACAGCTACTCCCACTGGAGAGATTGAGCTGGGATGCGGGTAGGCCAGACTAGGCAGGGCTACAACACCCGTGGACCTCATGTGAGCTAGATCAGGGAAAAGCCAGGATGGGTTGATTGATCATAGGGTGCAATCAAAAATTAAAGTGGGTGAGGGTTGTTTGGGCTTAGCCTCAGCATCAGCTGGCAGAAGCTGGCACTGGGGGCTAATTCTCTCAAGTCAAACCACAGAACCACCTGGAGAGTGCATAATCTGGGAGTGGGAGTTGCCTGGGAGGGACATAGTGGGCACCTCCCTCTTGGGTTACCACCCCTCACTGGAGGGCACAAAAACTAGGACAGGGGCTGGGGTGGCTAGACAGACACCCAACAACATCTGTGAAGGCTGGATAGTTGAGCTGGTTAGATGGAACTAAGCTTTAATACCCATTGACATGTATGAGAGCCAAATGGGATGTAGGACAGACTGGACTAGCCTGCGGCACATAATGGCAAACCAGGGCAGGGGGAGCAGGCCTGGTGGGTGTTATTGAGGGTTGCACTGACTAGCCTGTAGCCCACACTGTTTAGGTGAGGGCCGAGCATGCGCTGGGCAGAACCAGGCTGGACTGCAGCACCCATTGGTTCCTATGGAAGACAGGGCTGGAGGCTGGAAACAGAACCAACCCAGCAATTATAACCACCAGCTGATTGTGGTGACGGACTGTGCCGCGCCCTGTGCTTGCTAGCACATACAAGAATCTGGTCTGGGAACACCTAAGACAAAATCTCTTTGGAATTGAACTGCCAGACTCAGAACCCTAACCATGAAGAGACAGATAGGATCAATCAATCAACCACCTTTATCTATATGTTGGCAGTGAAAAACTGGGTAAATGGAGACCCTACGATGGACTATGTCAATCAGTGGATTCTTCAACAACCTCATCATGCTTGGAGTGGCGAAAGTGGCAGCAATTAAGAACTGTTGAATTATCAAGACCACTTGAGCAAGACCCTCGGAGCAAGCCCCACATCCGGGACCTGGGGCAGGTGGGAGACTGGGTGGGGCTTCTCCCTTAAAATCCCCTTTTACATCAGATATATGAAGGAAACAATTTAAAAAATGCTAAATTAAAAAAAAAAGATATATGTTTAAAAATATATATATTTTACTTGAAGCCTGCTGTTTTGGTGAATACTTTCAAACCAGAATAACAATGCTTGTGAGGTACTGAAAGAAAAGCTAAAAGGAAATATCTAATCGTTAAGAGAAAAAGTGCTTTAAAAAAAAAATGAGTCAGAAGCACTCTCCAGAATTACAAGCACACACCTGAAAACTGTGTTTTAGAGGGGGAAAGATCTATACGGAAAGATAAGGAAACTGCTGAGAACACTGAAATGAAGGAAGAAATTAATACGAGGAGATAGAGGATAAACACAGAATTATAATACACTAAGGAAACCGAAAAGATGCTTAACAAAGTCAAATTCAAAATAAGTTAAGAGAGCACGCTGATCTGAAAAGTCAAAAAGGCTAAGTGTTTTTTGCTGTTGCTGCTTTGGCATTTATACACTGACAAGCCTGAAAGATCTAGCCCTCACCTTACCACTAGGCTGTGAGACAGACCTTCTTGATCTGTGACAATGACCTCCAAGACAGAGTCCCCACAGGCTCTTTGTGCTAGGGTTCTTTTTAAGGAGGTGCTACCTCCTTTTTGTCCTTAATTCTCACTATGATGATTTATTTTCTTTAAAAAAGGGGTTTTTTTGGGCCTGGCACGGTGGCGCAAGTGGTTAAGGTCCTCGCCTTGCACGCCCAGGATCCCATATGGGCGCCGGTTCTATCCCAGCAGCCCCGCTTCCCTTCCAGCTCGCTGTCTGTGGCCCGGGAAAGCAGTCAAGGACGGCCCAAAGCTTTGGGACCCTGCACCTGCGCGGGAGACCCAGAAGAGGCTCCTGGCTTTGGATCGGCATAGCATCAGCCGTTGTACTCACTTGGGGAGTGAATCATTGGACAGAAGATCTTCCTCTCTGTATATCCACCTTTCCAATTTAAAAAAAGGGGTTTTTTGGGGGGGCAACTGTGTTTAAATTATTGTACATTATCTGGGAGAGGAAGTGGGGCCCTGGTCACAGAGCAAGCAAAGATCTCTTTCCTGGAAGCGGGGCAAGAGGGAAATATTTCCCTCCTGCCCTGGGTCTGACTCGTAGCTTCTCTTGCAAGAATGAAGATTAGAAACCCATTCCCACCCACAGGGAGAGGAACAGAGAAGGGGCAGCCTATCTGGGAAGAGCAGGACATGCCCCCCAGTGGGGGGCTGCCCATGGCTCTGAGGGCCTCGCCCTGGCATGACCTCCTTACTGGGAATGGGACTGCCTAGTACTCACTCTACTGAGGGAGTTTGCCCAGGATGTGAAAAAGGTTGGGCTGCACTTTTGGGTCAAGGAGAAGGGGGATGGCATGAGATTCACTACTGCACTTCATCACACCTGCTAGAGCTCTTGGCTGCTCCTTTAACACCCACCCCACCTCACTCCACCCAGACTCCAGGTATCCAGACACTCTGCCTTCGGTTGGAAGGAAATGGGATGTGTGGCTATCTGGTCTTGGAGTTCAGTTAAACACTCCAAGGATTAGAGCAAGGAACCACAGGTTTAATTAACAGACCTTGTGAAGGATGACACCCAGACCAACCCAACACTAGGCTCCCCAGTAGCTATGTTCCAGTGATGACTTCCATCCATGCATTACTCCATGTGTGTGTGTTTGTGCATGCGTGTGCAGGCATACACGCACTTGCAGGGGAGCATAGCTACAGCACCTTCCCAGGTTCTGGACATGCAAGGGACCCTCAGCCTAGATAGAGCCCAAAACTCTTCCTGGCTCTACCCCTTTGCTTGAAGTCTTCCCCCAATGCTCTATTCTCCCAGGATGAAGTTCATCACAAAGTTCCCACTCTGGACAATTTTAGTCTCAAATGTCTTTCTAGTTGGAGCATGTGAATTTGCCCTAGATTGTAACTTGCTCGTCCTTTTTAGCCTCATTTGTCTAAAACATTAGGTATTAATTTTTACTAAGTTATCACTTCATTTCATTTGTAAACAGAAAAACTGATGCAAGAAAAGTGGACACTGAGTTACAAAAACAGAGGGTTGGCTAGGTATCTTCCACTACTAAAAAACAGAAACTAGAACAAATATACCACAAGAGAAA